TACGAACCGGTGCGGAACCGGCTGAATCCCACCACTGGGTACAGTTCACTGGTTACATCATAGAAATAACTTTTAACAATAATTCGTTATATATAAAGGTACTCATTAACATTCATTACAAAGTAAATATCAAATTTACAACTATGATTTCACACAACATAAAATACAAAGTAAAAACTACAAAATGTATTATCTGATCTTAAACCAAAATCTGAAAAGAAATTCAACAAATACAAAAACCTACCCGTGGTAGGCACAGCAAGATAGCCCATTGTATAGTCTGTGCTTAACTACAAATAAAGAAACATTCAAAATATATCATAAGTTCTTCAAGTATATTAGAGAAGATGTAGTGAGGATATGTAATGAGGATGTAGTGAAGATATGTAACGAGGATGTAATGAGGATCATTTGGTATTCTCTGTTGAGCACTTGCCACTCAGGTAGATCAGGTGAGTGATTCTTTTTGAAAAGTCTTTGACGTTTCAACTCTGAAAATTCACTTGGTAGCTTGGAAAGCAATAAGTCGCAAAGCCTTTCCAGAAAATTGTTATATTGACTTTGTTCTTTGATTGTTCTATAGAAGTAATATATGCTCCATCCATAGTGCACCTTGTGCAAGAGGGACAATGACAGCAGCGTTATTCACTGGTAGAGCAGATGATATCTAGAGGTTACAGCTTTCTCTATGTTAAATGAAAATTACTAGTCACATGGGTAGTACTAATCACTATTTGTATTTCAAATATTTACCATTAAGTAAGAGATATTAGATATAAACATTACTATGCAGGATCTCAAGTGAGTTGGTTGACAGAAAAAGCTGAAGAAAGGAAATATGTTGACCAATTGACAAGTTTAGTAGCAGGTGGCTGCCCAGTGAAAAGAAAGTACACACTACATTTTCTCAATGAGTTAAGTAAAGAATGCTTCCATTTTGTATAACATATTGTGTCCAGTCTGTTTATTTCTTTGCTTGAATACAGTTAGTTTAGCCTACTGATTCTCCTGTTATAGACTGTAACTACAACAAGGGTAGGAAGGAAATATGTAGTGCTCTATTTACTGACATGCATATTGCCTTTACCTGATCTCTTGAGTTAAACGAATTTAAAGGAACACTTGTTACTGAAAGAGTGGTATTTTCTGTAGGTAGAAGTACTCATTATCATGAGGAAAAATTGTAAGATGAGCTATCTAGTCTGTGAGAAGTCCTATTCTGAACATAGAACATTTGCCAGATCTGCAACTGTTCTTGGAGTCAATCTTTGCAAATACAGACTCAGGAATATCAGCAGACATCTTGTGTGGGCGGCAGTCTTTCTAAAGATTTATTTTGGTGTCACAAGGGAATCACAAATGTTCAAAGGTTGTTGAGGTAAAATGGAATGTAATGAGTTTGAAACGATGTCTGGAAGGTTTTGCAGGTCTTCCAAGTCTTCTCCAGCCAAAATAACTGACCCAGCTAGTGAGGACCATTTGAAAAGAACTGGACATGTTGCTGGTGGATAACCACAGCCAGACAGAGATGTTTCACTGGAGGTGAGATGATGGGGTAAAAATCATGAATCATGGAGAGTCGTAAGCTTCTCCGAGCCAGAAAGCATCCTTCCAGGACGAATATGGATTGAAAGGAAACTTGAAGTTATGCAGAGCTTCAAAATAAGCTGCTGTGAGCAAGTTATCACTCTGCTGCACTGGACCAGGTATTAAAGTACCTTAGTACAACTACTTCCCTTTACTCATGACATCAGATGCATCTTAGCCAGGCATTGGATGAAGACTCTCAAGGAAGAGGCTTTGGCCAACACCACAAGATCCTGTGAGAGAAACCATGCAGAATTTGCCTCTGATGTTCAAATCGGTGGTAAAGGAGGACCTGGACTGCTTTCTGAAGCAATTCAGGTAGATAACTGCTTGGAATGGCTAGACTCTGTAGCTTAAATGGTCCAGCCCTTGATTCCATTAAGCATTTCATTAAGCCACAACAAAAGAACTGGAATGCAGTCATTGCCAAGTTGAACTCTTGATTTGAGCCAGTAGAGAATCGAGCAATCTGTCAAACCAAATTTGAAGCTTGAAACGGGAGGGCCACCAAAAGTCTGGCTAATTATGTAGCCATCTACATAATAAAACTTACCTTGTGATGAATGCAGCAAATTGCAAAGCCATACTTGTGTATAAGTTCATTAAGAGACTTCTAAATGAACCATGAGAAACCACCTTGTTAAGGTGAGGATATCCCTCACATCCAAAGGCAGTTTCCATCGTGACCAGGTAGTATGAAATGGTAACTTCTAACTACTTGTTAAACAGAAAGAAGCCTGCAGTAACAGCTGTTGTGGCTATACTTCAGAGAACCATCTTACTCAGATACCTCTACCACTTCAAACTTGAACCATCCCAACCGTTACCCAGCAAACCCATGCACTCTGATGCTGCATATCAAACACACTGATTTTGGCAAATGACTAAATATGTTCAGGAGAAATATCACCAACCAGTAAGCATTGCCTCAACAGCTCTAGATAACTTATAAAGCCTCAATCAGGCCAGGGAGCCATGCAATATTTAAAATTTCACTAGTTTGACTTTATAATATCCATATAACTTGAAAAAATAATTCATTTACACATGTTACTTTATAGTTTTATCTTACACGAGTTTTACAACTGTGAACGGTGTTACTGTACTTTCACATATGATTACGTCATCAATGTCTAGATTTAATTATTGTTACGTCTCCGTGTGTTAATTGATTTTCCGTAACTTCGTTCCGA